GAGAGCAGGGCCCAGGACATGTAACATTCCTTGGGAAGACAAACACATCACTCCAGATGTCCCTCCTTCCTCCTTCTGCCTCCCACCTTATATACTGAGCATGATGTGCTATGGTATGGAATATCCCTTTGGTCAGTTTGGGTCACCCTGTCCCAGCTGTGTCTCCTCCCAATCTCCCATGCACCCCAACTTCCTTGCCAGCGTGGCAGTACGGAACACAGTAAAGACCTTGGCTCTGTATGAGCTCTGCTTAGCAATAAGAAAAACATCTCTGCATTATCAACCCTGTGCCCTGCACAAAACCCAAACATAGCCCCATACTAGCCACTGGGAAGAAAGTTAACTCTACTTCAGCCCAAACCAGCACAGCTCCTTATATCATGAGCTGTGTAAAAATAGCTCTCCTTTTTCTGTAAGCTCCCTTTAAGTACAGACAGTCTGAGTCCTGCTTTTAATGGTAATCCCACCCCGTTTGCCATGTAGGAAGTCCTGGCATGCCCACTGTGAAGAACAGTGGATTTAGAAACTCTCCTTCCTCATCTGCCTGGTCTCCCCCTGCCTGGGACCTCACTGCTCCCTGTCCCTCCTCTGCAGTCAGAAAGGTGTGGGTGCCTGATGGAGCAGCCTGGGACTGATGGGCACCAGTCCCTCTAGCAGCTGTCATCCCTCTACCAGCTGTCATGGGCACACACTCCTTCCCAGGCCTGTGAGCAGCTGTCCCCATGTGCCACCTCACAAGTGGCACAAGCATTACCCCAGGGGGCTGTGCTGCTATGTAGAAGGAGCTCAAGAGGCTGGAGGGATGGGCAGAGCAGAACCAACTGAAATTCAACATAGGCAAATGTAGCGTCCTGCACCTGGGGAGGAATAACCCCAAGCACCAGGACAGGTTGGGCACTGACCTGCTGGAGAGCAGCTCCAAGGAGAAGGACCTGGAGGTGCTGGTGGACAACAGACTGTCCATGGGTCACAGTGTGCCCTTGTGGCTAAGAAGACCAATGGTAATCCTGGAGTGCATCAGGAAGAGCATTGCCAGAGAAGATCATGGAAGGTGTTCCAGCTGCTCTACCAATTCAGAAGGCCAGAAAACAAGCAAGGAAAGAGCATGGGCACAAAGCAGGCACTCATCTTTTGAAAGATGCTGAAAAATATTCCTTTGCATTAGGTGAGATTTTTGCCCAGGTGAACAGAGGAGCTGGCCATATACCCACAGCACCAGAACCCCTCTATTCCCACAGTAAACCCTGAGCCCCTTCTGGGACAGAGAGTTACCAGAAGAGGGGGCAGAAGCCTAAATCTTAGGATCAGCCTCATCACATCACTTGGTGGGGCTCAGAGGCAATGTGAACCAAGCATGAAACTGCCCCAGACACACACAAACCAATACAGTTTCCTCCTCCAACCTGACTAGAAAAACATGTATTTATAAGGCCATTTTCACTGTGTACTTTTTCTTACCAAGCTTCTGCAGGAAGGAGAGGTCTCTTTTTTTTGCACATGGTGTACAGACAGAAATACTCCAGCCAGAGTGGGTGAGAGCTGGCAGTGCCACCGTGGGACTGAAATATAGCTGTGGCTCAGCCCTTGGAGGCAGCTTGTCTTCTTCCCCCTTCCCCTATAGGCTTTGCATCTGGGCAGCTGTAATGCATTTCTTCACTTTGCCCCAAATTAGGGGTAGAATGGAGAAAGGTGAAGCACATGTGCAAATGATTCATTAATTATGCGGGTGACCCACTGATGAGGGGCAGAAGTTGCTTATAAAAAGCTTCTGCTATAGGGTTTGGGTTAGTGCTACTGTGTTGTTTCTTCTTCATCCAGTTTGAGTGTGAGCTGTAGCAAGGCCCAGACTGGGTGAAAGTAGGTTTTTCTGAAGGTACTGAGGTATGTTTTTCATTTATATTGCATAGTGTGTGACTTGGGGTTAGTGTGAACTTTCAGATGTTTTGTAAGTTAGTTGCTTTTCCAGCATAGTCTCTCTGTCCTGTGGGTTATCCAAGCAGGAAAAGGGTTGCCTGGTGTATAGGCCCAAGGTGTTATGGCTTGGTTCACTTGGATTTTCTTAGGGTTTGGGATTTAGTTTTTTTTCTTTTCCTCCAAAGCTTATTCTGATTTTTTCTGATGTATTTAAACCTCTCCATAAAAACTACATGAAGAAAGGCACATAGGAATTTAGTGTTGGATGTTTTTGTCTGCTGCAAGTATCTGTGTTGGAAGCTAGCTGTTCTGTTCACTCATAGATTAGAAATGTTTTTTAAATTATTATTTTTGCTCCTCTAACTGTAAGAGTATTCTAACTGGGCTGAGTTTCCTTCATCTTGAGGAAGCTAGTGTTAATTTTTCTTCTTCAGTCTGCATTGTGCTGTCCAAGTCAATTTGTCCTTTTCCTGGTGTAGAATACCTCCAGTATTATTCTCCTAGTAGCCAAAGAATATCACTTGGGGAATGAATTTCGAACTCTGTATGAAAGTATCTTGGAGTATTTTGGGATACAGATGCTGTGGGCTGCAGGAAGTTTTCAATGTTAGCTTGCAAATGAAAGAAAGACCTTGATAATAGAAGAAGCCAGAATACAGATTCCTTTTGGAAGGAGAAGCAGACTTGGCCTCAAGTTAGCTTTGAGGTAGCAGTTGTGGTGTTTAAAAAACCTTTCTGAAGATGGCCCACTGTGCCTTAATTCCAAATACAGTCCATGTAGCTGGGTAAAGCCTCTTTTCTTTTGAGCTATTTGTGTCTACTTTGATAAGCCTTTCTTGACAGGTTTTGCAATGAGGTCTCTCTCCTAAAAGGCAGTCTGTTAGAGGGTAGTAGTAGTAGTTAAAATTTAGGTTTTGCTGGTGATGAACTGTGGTGTGCACTTTCCTCAGAAACAGGAGATTTCTCCTTGATTTAGAAGAGCAGGAAGGAAAACTAACCTTGCTGATCTTGCTGTTGTTTCCTCTTGTTATCAGTTAACCGTAGTCCAAGTACCCACGTAATTTAAAGGCTTCCAACCTTCTCTGTCTTCTCAACTGCCAGAATGTCTGGCCATGGAAAGAAACAAACAGTGACTGGCAAACCTAGCAAGGACAAAGAAGCGACTGGGAAATCGAGAAGAAGGAAATCGGCCAAGGCAGGTCTGCAGTTTCCTGTGGGTCGTGTCCATAGATTCCTCAGGAGAAGGAAGTATGGTGATAGGATTAGTGCTGGTGCTGCTGTCTACCTGGCTGCTGTGCTGGAGTACATGACTGCAGAGATCCTGGAGGCGGCAGGGGATGCTGCCCATCAGAACAAGAAAACCAGGATCTCACCCAGGCACATCCAGCTGGCTGTGAGAAGTGATGAAGAGCTGAATAAGGTCTTTGCTCGTGTGATCATCCCTCAAGGAGGCGTTATACCAAATATTCAAACCCAGCTCATTCCAGAAAAATCTAGCAGAAATGTTCCTCCTCCTTCTCAGGAAAAAGGTGATAGCCAGTGAAACTTGCTTTTCCTGGTCTGGTCTGCACTTATGGATGATGGGACTCAGTAGCACATTATTTGTATGTGTTTGCTTCTTTTTCCTGCTAAGTTGAAGGCACTTCTAAAGGTTGTAATAAAGTTTCTAGAATTCAATACTGGTGATTTCTCAGGGGTGGAGGAACAGGGAAAACTATCTCCCTAAAAAAATGTCTAGCACAGCACCCAAATAACATTTTTAATAGTACTTTTGGAAAGATGTTATAGGTAACTGTTACGAAGCAGGTAAGGAGGCAAGACACACACTGCTGTTACTGTGAACTTCTCTTCCATCACAGATTTTCATGGTGCAATTAGTTTGGTGCCTAAGAGGTTGTTTAACTCTGCTTTTGAAGTTAGCAACTTTGTTTTAAAGCCTTATTGCTCAGAAAACTATAGTGCACAGCTGCCTCTCTTTAGACTGCTCCAATATGACACTAAGTCTCTGTCATGGCAAAAGACACAAACTGGTGAATTCAGTCTTCTCTTTTCAACACAGATTGCAAATTTAGTTTTTGTTTGTGGTGCAGGTGAGTATGAGAGTTATCAAGAACTTAAGGAGGTGTCTGTTCCCCTCTTACTCTCGTAATCCATCTCCTTTCTCCTATAGATCCTTCCATATGCTACCATCAGCAAGTTTGCAGATGACAC